GTAAACTTAACTTGAGAATTCCTGAGTAAAAATTACTCAGAATTTCTGAGTGCAAATTGTTACCTAGCTTTTTCAAGTAAATGTCACTTTTTTTTTTTTTCAGTGTGGAGTAGAGATGCACGCCCAAAAGAAAAGAAGGAGTAACACACCCACGTTAGCATTATAAAGGACTTGGATCTAAACAGGTTTTTGGATATGTGCAAATATCTCAACGTCAACCTTTTCAAGAAGGTGGTTGAAGGAATGAAAAGGGGAGGCTGTGGTCACACGGTCCAACAAGTCCTCCACTGGTGAAATACTTTGAAAAAACATTTTGACGTATTTTGGAGATTTGTTGACCTAACAGTTTGCTTCAAAAATGTGACAGTGTCTGACATTTAGAATCAAAATCCCACAATAAGACTGCTGCTCCAATCCAAGTTTACAAAACAATCAATCACAATACGAAATGAAATGGTGCAGAAAACACTGGTGACTAGGCAAAATCAACCCTGACCACAACAGGTACACACTCTCCTCTCTTTCTGATGCATAGAAGCACCGGCACTGTGACCAAAGCTTGTTTATTGTTTGTTACATATTTCAAAACATGAGAGCAGAGCAGACGAATGACGCAAGTTGATGACATGTGTCGGCTTGCATCATTTTTTTCTTTTAAATTTACATCAAAGAGCTACAGTCATTACACCATCTGACATGCTTCAAAACTGAAATAGTACAGTTTGACTCAGACTTTATTCAACCTGTCTCGCACAGTGTGAGAGTTTTGTTGAGGCGTCCGGAGAATCTATGCCAAGAAGCATTGAAGCTCATGCGTTTGTCATCCATCTGGAAATTAATTCTATGAATCACCAGTACATAAAAATGTGCAAAATGGTGTCCATCAATACATGCATACAATAAAACTGTTCATTTGTTGACTTAGGAAACCGCAGTTGACAAAACTGGTTACAGCTCAAGGTCCCTTACTTGCTTCCACTGGAGCTTTCCACAAAATCGGCCTTCAGCAGACTGAGTTTGCTCAGTTGCCACGGAACTAGAGGTAGTTAAACTTAATGCATCTAAGCAATAAAAGACAGTCAACATGGATGAGGACCATGTGATACAGTCAAAAGCTCCACAAAAAGTGACAAAATGGACCTTGAGCTGGGATTGTACATTAACTGTACATTAAGTTATACTGAAACCTGTATCAGTGAATGTAGTAAGACCAGTGGTGGGCCGTCAGGGCCTTCAAGGCCTTCTCTGCTGGCCTAAACAGAATCTCAAAGTTATAGCTATTTTATAATTTAATAATTTTTCTTAAATACACTACATGTATTATAATTTAACAAGTACGTGATTGGTCAGTGGGCTAGCCTGACATGTTGGGCGGTGACAATCCCAATATCTGCTGCCTCTGTCGAGCAGACATTTTCAGCCTCAAACGCATTTTCACTAGCTTAGGACCCCGCCTCGGCTGAGGGCAAACCGTCGATTATTTGGATTGTGGAGGAATGATTGATGGAGATTTAGCCCGTAGCGGATTGGTGGAGGCTTAGCTGAGGATCCACTGCGGCTCCACTGGTCTCCATGTGGGATAGGAGGATGATGACTATGGGGTGAGATAACCTTGGGTGGAATGGTTTAACAAGAGGGAGGGAGGGTGGGATGCAGAAAGCACGAGCCAGCTGAGGCTTTGAGTGGGTTGGTATTTGTAGGAGTGTGGCCGGAAGTGGGCGAGTGGCTGAGGCGTGGTCCTGCTCCTGAAATTCTGCTAATAATTTTATCAACAATTCACTAGTTTAGGACCCCGCCTCGGCCGAGGGCAAACCTTCGTAGATTATTTGGAGTGTTGAGGAATGGTAGATGGAGATTTAGTCCGTAGCGGTTTGGGGGAGGCTTAGCTGAGGATCCACTGCGGCTCCCGGGCCTTGCAGATCCCAAAAATAAGTCCCCCTGGGGAGCAGGTTGCCTGCCCGTGCGCTGGTCGTTTGAGCTGGCGAGTGTAAAGTTGGTAGGCGTGGGAAGACGGGTTATCGACGATGGAGTTCTGCTGGTCGATGGTCGGCCAAATCAAGTAAGGATTTTATGGGTGAATCCGGCCAGGAAGTGGGATGGAATACTGTAGAAATGTAAAGGGAGGAAGAGAGAGTCGGCATCTCGTTGCCGCTATGGAAAGTTGAGTTTGCCTGAGGTAATGGAGGGGGATGAGAGGTGATGCGCTGCAACCTGGCAACCCGGACCTTTGTGGGTTGGAGGGCGGAGCGTCGGGGTGCGTGGTGTTACACCGGTGTGTTTTGGGAGTAGGTACGTTTGTGTTTTTTAGCCTGACGTGACTTTAGGAAAGTTGTGAGGAGTTGGCACAGTTTGCTTTGTTGCTTCCATGCTCTTAGCAGACGGACTATGGTCCAGTTGGAGGTCTCAGCTGGTGCGTCTTCAATGGGGGACCTGGCTGGAGTGCGGAGGGGTGGCGGCGTCTTTGAGCGCGGTGTGCCGGGTAGCCGGAGTCGTCGGAGGCTCGTTCCCGAGCTGGGTCTGGAGCGAGCGAAGAAGGAGAGAGCTGGATTTACATTTCCGTTGTCTACGTCTGGAGGTGGCGGGTCTCCCTCTGCCACCTCCATCTGTCGTCCCCTGAGATCGGTCTCTCATTAGTGTGTCAGAACTTTAAAAGATCATTCATTTTTGATGCGAGTTATAGGAGGACGGACGTGGGTCTGTATCTTCGTATGTCGGATTCTGGGGGGTGGATGCAGCTGGTCGGCGAGGTGGAGATCGGCGGGTTTGGCTGCCTGGACCCTCTCGATTACGGTTGGCGGCATCTCGTGGGCGGCAGGTCGAGTGCTTCCCTGGGCTGTACGGGTGGCCTCTGGGGAGGCGAACTGGTCGTCGTCGTTGGATGGCCTGATGGACGGCAGGTCCATGTTTTAGGCGAGGTAAGGTTTTTTGTTTTTGTCTTCTCTGCATGGCGTTCCGGTTGCGAGTGCAGAAAGCACGAGCCAGCTGAGGCTTAGAGTGGGTAGGTATTTGTAGGAGTGTGGCCGGAAGTGGGCGAGTAATAATTTTATCAACAAAAAACGTATTCAAAAAATACAACTGGGGAGGCTCGACTGTCTTCACTGGCGTCCATGAATTGAGAAGGACTTCTTACTGGAACTAAAACACACGATGTACTGAACAACCGTGGGATTAAACTCTTTGTTAACAAAGAAAGGAGGATGGACTTTGTCTTTAAATAGAGAATAGCAGCTCTGGTAAGTTAACTGCAGTAGCTTTAACTGCCATAAATATTATTTATGTCATTATTTAATATGCTTGTTTATATTATATATTATTATTTGTACAACTTGTTTTTATGAATATGGATTTTCGTTTGGTTTTATATGTGATAGGAACTATTGTTACGTCCTATGTCGCGCTGGGTACATATTTAGCCGGTGCACAGCAACAAGAAGACGCGCGAAGCGGCAGCGGTCTATATACTCCGCGCAAAGTGTTAAAGTTAAAGTGTTAAAGTTAAGTTTAAGTTTTTAAGTGATCTACTTTGAAGATTCATGTGTTGTCAAGTGGACTCATTTTCCCTCTCGGTGTTGACAGACAAATAAATCTGTCAGTAACAAGAACTATGGAGTCGTGTGTTTTCTGGAGGGAGTGATAGGAGGAGTTACTACTCTGTTAATTTGTCTATGGTGTCATTTTCATGATATGGGTAATATTGTTCCCTCTGATATGACTAATATTTGAATGGCTCGTGCTCTTGAGTGTGTGGCGGAATGCGTGTTTTAGCTGAATTGATTTTGACTATATGCATTGTTCGTTAATGCCGCTGCATCCCATCATACGGGTATTCATGTATCTGCACTCAGAGTGTATTTGTAGGTGTTGAGCTTCATTTTTACGAGTGCAGGCCCAGGTATAAAATGCACGGCCCGCCACTGAGTAAGACCAGTGTCTGTCAAGTACATTACAGTCATTTAGCAGATGCTTTTATCCAAAGCGACTTACAATTCAGATTCTATCACACCGTAGGCACAGCTACGGGAGCAATTTTGGGGCTAAGTGTTTTGCTCAAGGACACATCGACATGCCACTAGCGGACCAGGGATCGAACGGCCCGGGGATCGAACCGACTGTGTCACTCTTAGTTTTCCTGGGTCTTGATTGAGCCACGTTGCTGTTGTGGATTAAAGCTTCCGTGAGACAGCCCAGACCCTTCAGTGATCTGCTGTGCATTTTACATGAGGGGTGGTGGGAAAGTGGTGGGAATAACAGATTCCAGCCAAGATGTCAGGGAGTGAGACATTGATGAGGAATGCAGCCCCCACCCCACTGTCCAGCACCTAACAGCTGTTGTTAGAGCTCCACAGTATTTTCTCCAGCACTACTGGGACACTGGGGAGCTGTCAAAACCCAGACCAAAGACAGGTTCTGTAGCTGAGATGCGAACAGCTGGCAGAGTCTCTCGCATTATACTGTGTGTATGTGTAAAAGATAGTTGAACTCAGTGGGTAAATATGGAATTTGGTTCATTAAGTATCACAATAATGTGACATCTTGTACAACAATCAAATCAATCCTATTATACAGGTTAACAAAACAGTTCGATAAGAACTGTGTTGTGTGCATGTTTCTGAGAGCAGAAAGGAAAGCAGAATAAAAATAAAAATGAAAACCAGTCTGGAGTGAAAGTAGCCTGGTACCACTGAAAGATCTCGGAATAATCGGACAATGTAGTTCCCAACTTGGAAAATTCACCTGAACGCCCCCTCAGGTCAAAACAACAACTCAAAAACAGCTAACGTGTTGTTTTAGCAATAAAATACATCACATTGTCTGTGTAGCATCCACATTGTTTCCACATTACAAGTTAAAGCTCATGCACACACCATACCACTTCCCAACTTGGGGAATGGGACCTTCTGAGGAGCATTGTCTGCACCATTGTCTGCGCACTCCAAGTGGCAAGTGCCCTTTTAGTTTTCTTGTAAATTGCTTCTAATAGATGGATGTTAGTGTATTACCTGAACCCTGGCCTCAGTAAGTTTGGTCCTCTGGGCCAGCTCCTCCCTGGTGTAGATGTCGGGATAGTGAGTTCTTTCGAAAGCCTTCTCCAGCTCCTCCAGCTGCTCCGCTGTGAACGTGGTCCGACTCCTGCGCTGTTTCCTCTTTAGGGGGAGGTCAGGCTCCGACTCCACGTCTGACACTTCATCCATCCGACTGCCTGGACAAACACATGGAGGGGACCCATTAGACGTCACTCATCTTAGCATGTTTCATAATGTAATGAGTGTAATGAGATGTACGTGTCCCAAATTAGCTCCCTGGTTGGTAGGAGACTGGATGCTAACTATGGTCTCCTGCTTTAAAGTCATCATTTTGCACAGTTGCACCAGTATGACAACTAGGGGTGCAACGGATCACAAACCTCACGGTTCGGATCGTACCGTGGTTTTTGAGTCATGGATCGGATAATTTTTCAGATCAGCAAAGAAAAGGGGGCGTGGACAAATATAACTTTGCTTTTTTTTCCATTTATTAATTAAAGAACTTCAAGAACACTTAAAACAAATAACTTTGGGCTATAGTCTTACATGAAAAACACAATATTTAAGATACTTACTTTTATAAAGATGAGAATATATCTACATTAGCTGGGGAAAGGGTATCAGCAGATTTGTGGCTGTGTGACTCTCACAGAGGGGGCGTGTCTGCAGCACCGGACTTTAAATCTCCCACTCCACCATGATGAAGTGAGCTGTACCAGTCTTTTCCTTCTCATAGAGGCCTAGAACGATCTTCATACTGAAGAGATTTCATAGCGTGGCTCAAGCACTTTAACCATATTTTGAAAACCTTTGTTTTCTACAGTGTGGTCTCATGTCTGCAGCAATAAAGACCGCAATAGATGTTGTAATAGCTTTAGCCTGATTCTGATTCTGCTGCAAACGGTTTCTTAAATGCTGCAGTGATAAGTTGTTGTTGTTGTTGTGCCTTGGCCCCCGTCGCTGACAGACCAGGGTGGTGGCGCTTCATATGTGTGGACATGCCCAATGTATTGCTGTTGTCGTGTGTCTTTCTCGTTGAACAACGCCTACATACCGTAATGGTTTTGTCCACCACCCTCATCCCGTCGTTATTAGTTACAGGGAAGCCAAACGTGTGACTTAAATGGCTTCTCAATTTCCTCCACTCGCCATGACTTTCACCATCAAATGCTTTTAACCTGCTCCGTTCATATGAACACACTACTGCTTTATATCTTTTCACTGCAACTCTGCATAGATATTTAGAGACGTATTACCTGAAAAAGTATGAGCGGCAGTAAAACTTTATTTCACACTATGATGATTAAACTGTAAAAAAAATAATGCAAATAATCTGCTGTTCACATGTGTGAGGAACTGTGAGGGGTGGTCCGTACACCACTAGTTTGTATGACATCACACTACTTCCCATAAAGAAACTTACAATTAGCTGATTAAATCAAAAGGCTCATTATTTTAAATAGTCAAAAGATGCTGATTGGCGTTTTCTGGTTGCATTGTTATTGGCAAAAAAATTGTCACTTTCAAATGAGACATGTCATGATGCATATCATTCACATATACAGTATAATAATATGTAGTTTATTTACTTCCCCACCCACAGCAGAGGTCACATCCTGGATCTGATCTGCTCCACTGGTCTCACAATACCTCAACTCTCCAGCCTCAACCTCAACATCTCTGACCACCTGGCTATCACCATGGACATGGACATCCCTATCCCCATCCCAAAAGCTAAGCGCAACATATCCTTCAGAAATCTCAAATATATCTCCCCCACAACTCTTTCAGCCTCTCTTGCCAGTACCATGTCTGCCTCCCCTCCCCCGCTATCTGATAATCCCTCCGATCTTGTAAACTACTACAATAACACACTCTCCTCCTGTCTTGATCAGCTGGCTCCCATTAAAACCAAAGCTGTCTCATTCATACACTCAGCTCCCTGGTACACTCCTGAACTCCACCATATGAAATCCTGTAAGCGCCAGCTTGAAAGACTCTGCAAGAAAACAGGTTTAACAGTCCATCTCCAAGCCCACTCTGACTACCTTCAACAATACAAAGATGCTCTTATCTCAGCCCGGTCCACCTACTACTCACACCTCATACACTCTGGCTCCTCTAACCCAAAGGCTCTCTTCTCCACAATGAACAAGCTTCTCAAACCCAGGGACAACACCTCCACATCCTTCACAGTGAACAAATGAAACTCTTTCCTTTCATTTTTCCAAACAAAAATGAACACCATCTACAGCAACCTGAACACCTCCCCTGCTACGCCCTTTCCATCTGTCCGGAAACACATCCGAGACTGCACTGCCCTTTCCATATTCAAATCACAAATCAAAACTCACCTTTTCAGAACTGCTTTTAATGTGTGACCAATATTGTGTGTTTTACAATTTTAGTGTATAGCTTTTTTACATGATGATTTTAATGTAAAGTGTCTGAGTATTCTCAAAAGCGCTCTATAAATAAAATGTGTTATTGTTACTATGATTTATTTAGTTTTTCAACTTTGCACGTACAATTTAGTTTAGCGGGGCCCTAATGTCTGATTCACACTGTCCACTGGATTATAAACTGGGAATAATCTGAAACAACAAATGGAGGCGTTTGGCAAAACTGGAAGTCGATCCATAGCAAACAACAGAACAAATATATCAACACAAACCTTTACCAGTAGCTAACGGAACTAGTACACACACTGCTCCACCTATCAGGCCATGTCCACACTACTGGGTTTCCATTTGAAAACGCATGTCTTTTGCTACGTTTATACTGAGCGTCCACACTACACCAGAGTTTCAGAGCACCGAAAATGGATACGTTTGAAAACTCCGGGGTTACCTCTTCGTGTAGACGATCGTAAACGCATAAGTTTGGAAACGATGACGTAGACACCCGCGTTCAATACTTGATTGGTTCTTAGCAGTCATTACGTGTTCTTCCCTGATTCGTCTCGCCTCTATCACATGACCCTTACCCGGAAAAACACAAACAACAGCCTTGATTGTCGATCGACTACCAGGTTAATTCAACATGGACAACTGATTACAGGCGTTGCTGACCTTGTTGTCTTTACTAGCAGCTGTTGTGCAGTTAAATTCTGCATTTTTGCGGAGGAAGCAGCTGTTATTGGAGCAATTCGAAAGCAGCGTGTTGGTTGCAAATTGCAATCAACTGAATACCCCTCTGCTCACCCCTCCCTTTCCAAGCGTTGTCTTAGAACTACGTTGGCCTTCAGGTTATGTAAAAATGTAAAAGACTGTCTCCAGAGTCGGTGTTTGGTTTGTCCGTTCTGGCCTACTGTAGAAATGTGGTGCTGCAACACGGCAGACTCCGTGAAGAGGATCCGTTCACAATGTCGATATGAAGGACTCATTATTGTGCTCTTCTTTCGAAGAAGAAATACTTCTTGCGATTAGCAAGCAGCGTGTCCAGCAGGCATAATGCCTCACGAGATAGATTAATGGACGACATGGAAGCCAAAACAGGCCAGAACACAACACAGTAAAAGGCATGTTCACAACTTCCTCCAAATACAGAGAGAGGCAGGCAGAGGAAAGAGGGACAAATGATGCTTCAAACAGCACGACCACTGTTTTCTCTGTGTGGTTATATGACAATACAATTTTCTTGTGCTTGGTAAGTACAATTCTATATCAAAACCTGTATATCCCAGCATCCCCCAGGGCACGGTGCTGAGAGTTAAAGTGGAATGAGGGGTGCTAATCTCTCCAGACCACCTTGGTGATGTGTGTAGCACCATTCTTCCACTGTGGGCCTCAGGGCAAGCCCAGAAACTGGCAGGCTGAAAGTAGTCCCAAAATATTTATTGTGCAGCTGATTTCACTCACACACACGATGTGTCCATGCTACTGTTCAGAAGGAGCCATGCAAGATTATCTGACACATGCAGATATCCATTTTAAATGAGGCTGCCTACTTACCCAGACTGGAGAGCAGATACATAGAGCTCCACTGTATGTGGACTGTAGAGGACTATGGTATGACATCACAGCTCAGGAGAGGACAATTCAGATGTCATACGGGAGGTTGGCAAAGTGGCAAACAATATGGCTTTTTAAAATTTAACAACATGAAAGAGAGCTAAAATCTGAACACTATGAACAGGAATATTGATCACCCTTCACAGTGCCGGGTGCTGTAACAAATGACACTGAGGAATCTTTACTTGTTCTATTTTGTAGGAGGAAAAGGTTTTTATGAGAAAATATCACACACTTGATTAAAGGTGGATATTTTGGTAACAAAATACCTTAAAACAAGCAATATGTTTGTTATTAATTTAATCTAGCATTTATAGAGAGGCAGTTGCAGAAGCAAATACATTGTATGACCATGTTGGGGGGGGAAAGGCTAGCCATATATAGCATCCAAATGAAAATCTTTAAGTTTATAAAGACCCCCCACTGTGTCACAATTTTGGTTGTCACCACAAAACTGTGGTCTTAGATCTCACTGTGAGGCCCAAAAAGCCAAAAAACAAAGACCAAAAATGATTTTAAGACTAAAATCCCGCAATACCACCCATGTCTACAAACTACTCAATCAAAATAAAGCATGCAATTACACAAGTACATCAATGCAACACTGTTATCATTATTTTTTAATTTAAAAAAAAAAAATTAAAAAAAAGATAGTGTTAAAATGAAAAGGCATAGAGCATGTGAATGTCAACTCTATGGCTTTTTGATTTGATGCATTTCAAAATGTGAGGGCTGTTCAGACGGATGATGTGAGCTACTGACTTTTTTCCAACCTAAATAGATAATTCACCAGACATTATCTCACCATCTGACAGACTGAGACCAAGATTTTAGACAAATCTCACACAGTGTAACACACAATGAACTTGGAAGACTCCTATTGTCTCACCTAGGCTTCAGCTTTTGATGAATCAGGTGAATCAGGTCTAAATCAGTTAGAACAGTGAGGAGGTCGTCAGTGAAGCAGAGGTTTGCAAATGTGCAGGTCTATTTATCTGTTGTAAATGTGTTCCATCTATTGTGGTGTAGTGAATTCTGGGTATTGACTAGAGAGTGGAGAGCAGACATGGATATTTTCTCACCGTTTTTTATTTGTTTGTATGAGTGTCTTCATTGTGTGCAGAAGTTGGTCATGTGCTGGTGCAGTAGGAAAGAAAAGGCCC